TTTAGATTTTTTGACTGTAAAATTCTAAAACAATGTGCTATCTTCGTGTGCAATGTGTAATCTTTTTCAGAAAAAGATTAGCTTTCAACAAATTACAGTTATTGACCATTATTGTGTGTGGTGAGTTTGTAAATAGAATTTAAATAGACAAAAATATTAAAAAACGAGAATAAATTTACTGATTTTTATTTAGAAAAAAAGAGAAAAATCACGAACGAAAGAAACTAACACTTTAAAGTTGAAAAATGAACTAATACATATATACAAGTCTTTTTTATGACATTGGGTTGCACAGTTTTCATTTAGGACACTTTTTTTCATACACGCACACATACAAATGCATGCATTCATAGGCGGCACGCACGCATACACATGCACACACCACATGCTAACATACGTGAAAGAGTAACGGCCATCCGCCTCCCAAGTTTCATTAAAAATCAAAAATCCCCTCTTCTGCTGTCTACCACTTCTTTCGCCATGTATTTGTTAGTTTCTTTTATTACTTTATGCAATCCAAAACACTCTAATCTGCCGCTTTAATCTGTATCTCTGTTCAAATCCTTCCTTCCCGCTCTGCCAGAAAGCTGCTGTCATTTGCTGACGGAAAGCATGAAATTACCGTAATAAGGTTGTATTGCCGAAAAGCGCGTATTGACTACTGTCAGGGGCAATTTTAATGGTTTTGATAGTGCAAACGGTTGAAGAGTTATGGTAAAATGAATACAGCTTGCTGGTATGTGTCGGCGATGACACAGCCGGTTCTAAAGGGTTAACAAAATTCAAGAAGTCATTGGTATACTACACAACCCTTGCCTGTTAGCTTCTCAGATTTGACTGTACAAGAAAATGCTAAGCATGCAAGGAATGACATATCTTTTTCTTTTTTTAAAGACCTTCTCTGGTGGGCAAGTTTATTTTGAGATATGGGCTAATATTTCAAAACAGTCTGACTTGAGAGGGAAAACAACATTCAGACTTATAATTTCTTACAACATTTCTCAGCATCTCTCAACTGAATATACACATATACATTAGCCGCTTTTTAACCTTCGGGCCGTAAGTTTCTAAGGAACAGACGATTACGGTTATATTTCCACTTGAGCTTGGTTCGGCACACCCGCAATTCTCAGCACGGTTGACCGTATACTGGTAGAATCCATGTAGTGACGTCGCCACTCAGGATTGGTCACTTGTCTGCAGTGTTGGTCAAGTTACTTGGAAATAGTAATTAGTTACTGATTACTGATTACTTCTCCAAGAAAGTAATCTAGTTACTTTACTGATTACTCATTTTCAAAAGTAATTAGTTACTTTACTAGTTACTTTACTAAGTTACTTTTCAAAAACATGATGCACGACCTGAATACACTATAAAGCAATAGACCTTTCATTCTAATTCTATCCTTTCTGCATATTCCATCATCTAAAATTGAATCAAATGAAACATTCTCTTTTTTAAAACTTGTTTTATTAGTTTCAATATTTAAATTTCTGCATATTCCAGCATATAAAATAAAAACATTTTTTTAAACCCTTCATTCGAATAGATGTAGGCCTAAATAAAATACAGCAATAAAGTAATTAAAATGAAAGTATCTCCTGACTGTATTCAAAATAAGTAACATTTACATTTTTTAATAGTAAAGTGCAGAGAAGCGAAAAATAATTTTACCAAAACAGAAAATGCTGTTGCATGCCACATTTAGGCTGTTAGTCCAGACTCCAGTCTCATTTTATGGCTACCCTGACAAAGCCCTATGCTTTTTTGCTTTCTTTCGGAGTGAAACAGTGGTTATATCGCATCAGCAGAAGCTTCTCAAACCTCCTATCACACAGTCTATTCCTTTTCGGGGAAAGCACCAATCCACCTAAACTGAACAGCCGTTCCACTGGTGCACTGGATGGAGTTGGAGTGTTGTATTTCATGTACATCTTTTTGAGGTTTGGGAACTGATTCAGAATCTCAAGCTCATAGCCTGACCTTAAATAGTCAGTTACTTCATTTCCTGCTGAGAAGCTTTCTGTGGGCTGGTTCTCAAAATCAAAAAAGTCAATTTCAGCTGGGCTGGCTGCCAGTTGGGACACATTAGCATTGTCAGCTGCAGGTGCAGCTTTACGACACTCTGTTGTCAAAAGCTCCTTCAAATGATCTCTCCTACGCTCATCCCTCAGCCATCGAAGTTTGAACTTGGGACAAGTGGCCGCTGCAAGAAGTGCTTCTTGGCTATCCAGTACAGCATCAAAACGAATCTTGATGGCCTGTAAAATACAATATGATATAACTAAGAATATATTTATTTTACTATATAAATTGGCTATTTTAACTATTTTGTGGGCTCCTCTGACCTAAACCATCTCATGTGCTATCAATACTGTATGAGATTTAATTTTGGTTGAGGCGGTTTTGACCTCTTTATTTCAATCTTATATTGTTGTTATGATTAATATTCATGATTAATGATGATCAATATCCCTGATATTGAACAGGGTATAAATAATTGATCATTTATTATATTCTATCATTTTAATAATTGTACTCACTGCTTAAAACAAACAAAGTGTAAGATCTGCCCACCATGAATTGTATAATAAATCCAACAAATCCACCCAAATCAATTATCAAATAATAATCTTACCTTTACAATAACATCTGGAAGGCTGGCTGTCATTCTAGAGAGGTCATCTTTCAGGGCTAGTGTCTTTGACATCAGGCTTGTGAGTGTTGGTAGTAAAGCCCCATAGGTGCACTCATCCCCTTGTAAGATGTCTAGTGCTACGGTCAGGGGCTTCATCACGGTGCAGTACTCTTGTAAGAATAGGTACTCCCTTTCATTTGGCACTTGATTCCCAGTTTTACACACAGGGGATTCAGCTCATTCATCGGAATTGTGATGATTCTGGAAATGGCCTCATACTGGGAATTCCACCTTGTGGATGTAGGTACCATTAGTTTCCTGCGGCTGATTTCCTCCACCTGTTCAGAGGCTAATGTTGATCGACTTGCTTTAGTCCAAAGAGCAGAGCATTTTGCAATACTACTCCTATATACAGCCTTGGTGTCTGCACAGGAATTTAGATGTTTGTCAACATCACTTGTTGAAATGAGATTAATTGTGTGTGATGCACACCTGTAGTGTGGAGGGAGGCTAAACTGTCCATCACCAGATGTGGTTGAAAGAGCTTCTATGACATCTGTAAAAGTCGGTTCCTCATCATCACCTTCTTCATTTTCAGATTCAGACTCTAAATTATAGGGCTGATACACTCTGAATGCTTTGGCAAAATTAGATGCATTATCAGTTACAGTGGCAACAACTTTACCATGCAGTCCATATGATGAATGGATTTCTTCAATCTCTGCTCCAATTACATCATAGGTGTGCCTGCCTCTAATTCTCTTGCATGCTAGGGCGGCCTTGTTGCGCTGTAAAGTGGAATTAATCCAGTGAACTGTTACACCCATAAAACTTTTGTTATTTATCGTCCAGATGTCAGCAGTAGTGGAAACAAAGTCTACATCTCCGAGTGCAGCCTTCAAATAGCGTCCATTATGTCATATTCTCTCTCAAGGTATCCTGCAAATGACTTTCTCTGCGGCAGCTTGACACCGTGTTTGGTCGGTATTTTTTCTACGATGCGTCGGAATGATTCAGAGTCAACAGTGGAAATTGGCAGCATGTCCTCGACAATATAGCCGGCGACGAGCTTATTCAGTTCAGCGGCACTGAGTCCTGTCACTTTTAAGTCTATTTTCACCTGTTTAGCAGGAGAGGGGCCGTCTGAGGTTCGCCCGGTGGAATTGGATGTAGCCGCAGCGCTCATGTCAGTTGGCGGTCCAGGGTTATTTTCAGAAAGTTTAACATTCCTGTGCTGGCTTGCTAGGTGCTTGCTCAGATTTAAGGTCGAATTTTTCGCGGTAGATAAAAGTTTTCTTCCCACGCAGAGTGTACAGCGGACGCTGATGTTTTTGTCACCTTTAACCGAGTCAAACTCAAAGTAATGTCGGTACTTCCAAGTATTAAACGCTGAATGGTCTTGCTCTCTTCCGCGCTCCATGTTGTCTCGTTCAACACTACACATGTCGGTGTTTACAGTTACCACTGACGTCGCGGCGCTGATACGTCATCATTGTCACTCACGACTCACGTCACTCACGAGACAGTGTTACGAAACAAAATCACGGTCAAGTAATGCAGTAACGCAGCCGGCTTACGGAGAAGTAACTATAATCTAATTACTTTTTTTGCAACTGTAATCCCTTACTTTACTCGTTACTTGAAAAAAGTAATCGGATTACAGTAACGCGTTAATTCTAACGCGTTACTGCCCAACACTGCTTGTCTGTTGCCTGGCTACCTAATTCTCTGTATCTGGCAAAGCGAAGTAATTTGAGTGGTTTGAGCAAAGTAAACACCATAATAAAATTAAAATAAATATATGATCATCCTCCAATGCGATCACTATTTTCATCTCATACCATCTGTAAACTCTTGCGCTACCAAGGCAGTGACTGACGCATTTGTAATACATTCCAAAGAACTCCAAAGAATTATGATATTTTGAATACATCACTCTTACACTGTGTCTATACCAGACGCGAGCGGCACAATGTAATGTGACAAAAGCAAATAGAGCCAATTATAAACAGTGATGTTGTCTACAATGGATCCGGCATGACTATTTCTATATTCCCCATTCTATTTCTGATGTATTCCAAGCACACATGCAACTTCTGTCACAAAGGACAAATGGATTTGCAGCGGTCGCTTTGTCACGTCCAGGCGGTGCGCCGCAACAATGGTCGCGTCCAGTGTAGAGACAGTGTTAGTAGGTATGAGATCTTGGTAAAATCCAGGCATTTTTTACTTTGATTATCTTTTTTTTTTGTATCAATTTTTGACAGTCCAGATCATTAGCTAATACCCCACACTACACCAGTACATTATAACTAAATTATGTTTTTACAATTATGGTAATATTCCTTCTCTTCCATGTAGGACGCAGAGAGGGCAGCCTTGTGAATGGACCCAGAGCAGACCAGATGGAAACAGAAAAGACCAGCCATGATACGGAAAAAAGTCTGATACTTGCACAAATCGGTGCTACTCAGCAGACAGACCCTCTTCTCATCAAGCAACAGAATGGAGATCAGTCACCTGAGGTCTTGTCTCAGCAGTTCAATGGAGACACAAACTGGAGCCATATCAAGCCCAGCACAGTGGTCTACCCGATGAAACGACAACAGGATAATTGTTCTAGCCCTGCTAACATGCAGGGCATATTTGATCAAAACATGTATGAGATGAATGGACAGATGAAACATGCTCTAAGTGAACAGACATATTTGGACTTTCACCAGCCTAAAAAACTCTGTACTGATTCAGAGGTGAATGGAAATGAAGACCTGAGGCTTTGGGATAAAAGAGAAACCGGAATGGAGAACCGATTAGAAGGATTCTCTAAGCACAACAAGCCAGGAGATTTTGAGATAAAACATAGTAAAAGAAACTGTAACTTCCCTAATGGGGATTTATTCTCAATGTCACAGAACAAGCAAGTTCCAATGTCCAATGGTGCTACAACAGGCCCACCTTCAGTACAGGGTATAACTGGTGACCTCTTAGAGAAAACTTTGTCTCAGTATTACCCAGAGCATGTGTCTATTGCACCTCAAACCAACTCATCTCAAGTAGATCAGGTCACCAGCAACCTGCCTGAGCAGGCGACTTCTTCACCTTCATTTACCTCAGGTTTTCCTATTTCACCCCATACATCAGCCTCCGAGCCACTTGCCAAGGCAGCCCCAGAAGTACAAGGCAGCAATGGCTACAACCCTGAATTTACAATGAATGGATACTCTAGCTTTGCAGCTGAGCAAAAGAAGCCTGCTTATCCTCTCTCTGACCTCCCAGAGTTGGGAACACAATCGCGGAGTCAGGAAGCTTCCAATGTGCCATCACAGACAGGCATTAATGGTTGCTCACAGATTCAAAAAGATAGAGAAGATAGAAAAGATAACCTTCTGAGCGAGACTGAGTGTTTAAGTATATTCTCTAAGTCCAACCAGGATTTTAGCTGTGAATCGTACAAATTGCCCCCAGTGATGGCAAGTGCCCCCTCACAAAAAACTCAGACAGGTCAGCAGAACCTACAGATTAAGGTGCTACAGAAACAACCAACTGATGAAAACCTCCACAACCATAGAGACTTTTCTTTGCTACAGCAACAGAATATTGAGCCACCAACAGTAGACAGCAGGTTGATTTCCCAGGCCTGTACACCAACATCAAAGAATCAATACAGTGACCACGATAATAAGCCTGAACCAGGTCAAGAAAAGACCATGTCAAAGAGTACAGGTCCCCCATCCCAGATGGAATGGATAGATTTAAACTCGGCTTCAGCTCCACAGCCATCTACTGACCACTCACAGATGTGGGATTTTTTCCTTCCACAGACCCAAATGCAGCAACATACAGTCTCGCAGAGCCAAAGTCATTGTACAAATTCCATGCCCTCAAACAACTTCCAGTCTTTGAATTTAAGTAATCCCAGTTTTCCCTCACATGACAGTCAGGCACAAGATTGTTACAAAAACTCCCTACCTCCTACACAATTTCCCCACAATTCTGCCCCTGAATGTCAACAAAGAAAATCTGGAATGCACAATCATGCTTCCATGCAATTTGACAAACCCCAACACACGTGCCAGGAATTATGCAAAAATGATCAAGACCAGATACAATCCCAGAGCTTCCTCTCTCAGCCACCACCTACTGAGCCTCATCAGCAGGCCACCAGCACATTTGCCCATCAGCTCCCTCAGGACAGACAGAATATGCAAGCAGCTCCACAAAAAGATGTTTCCCACATCCAGGTAGATGCACCACTCTTAAAACGGCTTAAAACAGAGGGTTGTCTTCATTCAGAATCCCAGACAATATCTCTAGGTATTGAACCCCCAGCACAAACACTGTCTAGGTCAACTATAAGAGAATACTCAACATTTCCAGACCCATCTAATTCAAATGTACAATCCTTGTCTAAAGAAACAAAAGCTCTAACAGATAGGAAACTCCAGCAGAACATACAGTACTCTCAAAACACCAGTAAACAACAACCAAACTACCAGCAACCTCTCCATCGCAGGGTACACAATCATTTGGAATTCCCCCAGTCTCCGATTTCTCAATCACAAGTTTCTAATGGTCTTCAGATACCGGCTCAAACATTTACCAAAACTGAATTGCAAGAGCTCTTTGCCAAAATCCAGAGGGAGTCTCTCCTAAGCCAAGGTGCTCAAGGCGATTTGCAGAGGCACACAGCCTTGCGAATGCACCTTCTGCAGAGGCAGGAGCGGCAAGGCCCCAACAACATCAGACCAATTATGCCAACCATAAAAACTGAAAACAGCTCAGAATTAGAGACCTCAGCTCAACTGCCACCCATGGAAGTGCTACAGCAAGATCAAGACAAAACCAAAGTCATGCCAGTGGTTGTAAAGCAGGAGTATCCTTCTTCATCCTGTGAACAAAGCCTGCAAAGCAGTATTCTAGCTACCATGGAACAGCGGTTAAAACAGTATCAACTATCACCTGTGTTTGAAAGAAAGTCTTTGGTCATCAAGTCACCCAATAAGGTGAAGGTGGAGATGGCTGGGGCTGTGACTGTGCTCTCAACCAGTGCTGAGGGGAATGTCAAGGAACAGTGCAAACCACAAAACTTCACCCCACCTAAAAAGATTGAACCCGGGTTACAAAGCTTTCTGGATTCACCCATGAAGATGCTTAATACACCAATAAAAAACTTACTAGATACACCTATGAAGACACAGTATGATATTCCTTCATGTCACTGTGTTGGTAAGAGATTCACACTGCTTTTTTTTTTTTTTTTTTTTACACATTTTGTGTTGTTTATACATTAGAACTGCACACTTGAAGGAGTAGTTCACTTTCAAATGAAAATTAGCCCATGATTAACTCACCCCGAAGCCATCCTAAGTGTATATGACTTTCTTCTTTCAGACGAATACAATCCGAGTTACACTATATTAAAAAAATATCCTGGCTCTTCCAAGTTTTATAATGGCAGTGGATTGCAACCAACAGATTAAAGCTCAAAAACGTGCATCCATCCATCGTAAACGAACTCCAAACAGCTCCAGGGGTTAATAAAGGCCTTCTGAAGCAAAATTATAAGTTTGTGTAAGAAAAATATTTATATTGAAAACTTTATAAAGTAAAATAACTAGCTTCCGGCCAAACGAACATACGGATTCCATTTAAGTGCAAGTAATGCGACGTACTGTTGATATTTACGCTACGCCATGACGCACTAACGCTACTTCTGACATCATAAATTTCGTAAGTTGCGCATTAGGGGCAAGTAGACTGCGTTTGGCCGGAAGCTAGAATTTTACTTTGTAACGTGTTAAATATGAATTTTTTTCTTACACAAACTCATCGTTTTGCTTCAGAAGGCCTTTATTAACCCACAGAAGCCGTTTGGAGTTCGTTTACAATGGATGGATGCACATTTTCAAACTTGGAAGAGCCAGGATATTTTTTAATATATCTCCGATTGTATTCGTTTAGAGATAAAGTCATATACACCTAGGATGGCTTGAGGGTGAGTAAATCATTGGCTAATTTTCATTTTAAAGTGAACTAATACTTTAATGTAAATAGTTTGATATCTTACTGATATTTTTAATCAAATTAAATCATTTTTATATTAGTTATACAATTTTTTCTCCTGACAATCTACTACAAAATCCATAGACCAAATCAGTGAAAGGGACGAAGGACCATATTATACTCACTTAGGATCAGCACAGACTGTTGCAGGCATCCGCAAAATTATGGAGGAAAGGTATGATATTATGAACTTCTCTAATGCACAAAATAAATGCTTGTAACTTACTCTCTTAGTATTTTTTCTAGCTATTACACTATATTTCCTGTGACAGATCTGGACTGACTGGAAGTGCCATTAGGATTGAAAAAGTTGTGTATACTGGCAAGGAAGGCAAGAGTGGGCAGGGCTGCCCCATTGCTAAATGGGTAAAGGCAATTTATTTATATCCTGTGTGTTCTCTTTTTTGTGCATATGCATCACCTCTCTTTGTCTGTTTCTGTAATTAAATATTAAAACATTATTGTTAGTTTTCTCATCTACAGCACCCTCTATGGAAAACTCAGTTACATGACAGAGGTCTCAAACTGCTACCTGTATATTTTCTGGATATATCTGTACATGTGCACTATGTTGTGTAGGTAATACGGAGGGCAAATGTAGACGAGAAACTCCTGGTCTTGGTACGAGAACGGGCTGGTCACTCATGTGAAACATCCTGTATAGTAGTGGTCATCTTAATTTGGGAAGGCATATCAACGAACCTGGCTGACAGTCTCTACACTGAACTCAGTGACACGCTAACAAAACATGGTGCCCTAACCAACCGCAGATGTGCTCTAAATGAGGAGTAAGGACAAATGCTTGTTATTGCTTTATCACAAATACAGTAAACATTCAAGTCAAGTCAACTTTATTTATTTAGCGCTTTTTACAATGCAGATCGTTTCAAAGAAGCTTTACAGTGATAACAGAAAAATAATGCAACAAAGTTTGTTTTGGCTGTACAGCAGCTGTAGAAGAAAATAATGTCATTGTCCAGCTAAAGTAAATTCAATGTTGATTCATTTTGGTAGTAAAAATCATTGGTTACTAATTTATTTAATTTATCTATACAGCAGCTCTGGAGAAAAAAGTAATATCATCAGTCAGCTCAGTTCAGATCTCATACAATGGTGTCAATGCAGTCAGATCAATAATATCATTGAATATTAAGTGTGAATATTAATAAACATTCACTAACCAAAAGACAAAAACATTTTTATTAAATTAATTATTATTATATAATATTAAATTTTTTATCGACCGATACATTTATAGTCTGTGGTCTTGGTATTGCTACATATCTGACAACTTTCTGCTTATTGTACAGTTATGTTTTTTATGTTTTCCTAAAGACAAGATATTTAATGGCTTCAACAAAACATTCAAATTCTAGATATCGTAAGGTATCTTTACAATATGTTATTTGTCTTAAAACTTAACATTCTGTCATTTTCCTTAGGAGAACATGTGCATGTCAGGGTTTGGAACCTGATGCCTGTGGAGCTTCTTTCTCCTTCGGCTGCTCCTGGAGCATGTACTATAATGGCTGCAAATTTGCCAGAAGTAAAATCCCACGAAAGTTCAAACTGCTTGGTGATGATCCCAGGGAGGTGAGATGCTCTCACACAAACACAAAATGGACTCAACAAAGGACATACAAAATAGGAAATAACAGGAGAATTTTTGATTCCCTTACAGGAAGAGAAACTGGAACAAAATCTCCAGGGTCTTGCAACTTTCATGGCCCCAGTGTATAAAAAAATGGCACCCGATGCTTACGGCAATCAGGTATACATTTAAGCTTTCTGCTTCAGGTCTCATTTTATGGTATAGTGTATTTACATGTATGTATAGTGTTGTAATATATAAAAATAAGTAAAGTGACTGCAATAGTGCATTAGGCTAATTGCAAAAGTGGCATATACCAAAGTAGGCAAATTTTAAGTTAAAACAAATTTCACATTTATATATCTACCGATATTTGACAGGTGGAGCATGAACACAGAGCTCCCGATTGCCGCCTGGGCCTAAAAGAAGGACGGCCATTTTCTGGAGTGACAGCCTGTCTAGACTTCTGTGCTCATGCCCACAGAGACCTGCACAACATGCAAGGGGGCAGTACTGTGGTAAGAATTAAAGTCGACATGAAACAGACATTGTGATAGTCTTTTCTTCCCTATAGTGATGTATTTCCGAGTGAAATGGCTTCTGGAATGAGAAATAAATGTAGGGCGGAACTGGATTTCGTCCTTGGGAATTGATTGGACTGTAGGAAGTGGAGTTGCTAACTAAATGGAGGGAGATCTGAATGTCAGTTAGCAGTCAGTTGTGAAGGATATTTAATCTCACCCTCCACCGAGACATGGCACGAAGAGAGCAGATGCTGTTCGAAGGGGAGGGGAGGTTGATGTTTTTTTATTGAAGATTATGAGTGGAGATGAATAAAAAAATAAATAAAGATGTGCACAGAAAAATCATTTATTATAAAAACTTTTTAAAAATAACATTTACATTCAGTAAAAAAAAAAAAATTGTCCATTTTGATTTCATGGTAACTTTAAATACGGTAGTGTACCCTAATAAGACTAATAAAGAGCATTCACCAAAGCCAGCAGTTAAGTCTATTACACGATACAAATAATATATACCCTGCTTTATACTCTGAAGGTGGAAAACAAAAGATAGCTAAAACACAGTTGTGGTTGCAAAATTACCAATTGACCTTTCGCCGGCCCCTCCCCCAAAACGGCCATTTTCCAATCACACATCATAGCAACCGTTACTATGTGAGCCGGTCCATCAAACATTGACTCCAAGCAAGATGGTGAAGCGGTGCGCCCACGGCGTTTGTAAATCGGACACTAGGTACCCCGAGAGATTGTCTGGAGGAGTTGTGTTCTTTCCGTTTCCAAAGCCGAAAACACAACGTGAGCGGTGCCTACAATGGATCAAACAGTATGGACGGCCCCACTCCCAGTTAAATGTGTCGAACATGGTTAACTCGCGTGCAGCGTGTGTGCGTGAGACTGAGACACTGAGATTAGTCAAAGAAACATGGAGAAAGCAGATCAAGAGGATCCACAAAGGAATTACGTTTTCTAAAGGGTTGTTGTTAACATGATATTCTCGGGGGAAAACGAGCAGCAGTCAATTAGCAGTGCAGCACCCGTAGCTACAGTTTAGATGATTGCACGTTCACAACGGGGAAAGCATGAAGCTTACTTGACAACATCAGTTCATATATCAATATCGTAACAAATAGAAATAACCTTAAATAATGTATGGTTATCTGCATCTTTCCGTCTCTTATGTATAGTTACTTTTTAAACACGAAAATTGCATTCAGCATGGCACGCAAGCGGTTGCCGTGGTAATGAACAACCTGCTTGTTAAAGCGAATGTATAATCCTGTATCTGAGGCAAAATTACTAAATATGCAGCACGAGTTATATATTTTTAACTCCAAACAATTAGCCACTGAACCAGCTTATAAAATCTTCTTCAAGGCTGTGCTGGTTGCATTTGAGGTACAGGTCATGGGGTTTCTCAGATTTCACTTGAGACCGGTAAGCATTAGCCTCGATAGTAGTCGTGTCTCCTTCATTGCGTATTTTTAAATTTTGAATATATCCCTCCACTGCTGTAACCCCTTTTGCCTTGATCTGGAGGATATCGCTGAGGTATTGCTCCAAAAAAGGTCACTGACACGCACGGGTATACCTCCTCCTGTCATGGCAATCTGTCGCGCTGGTCGTGTTTGACCATTTGATTGACGGGCGTAATAACAATAACTAGGGGGCGTGGCTATTGCGAACGGTCAATTAAACAGGCCAAACCTCCCTCTCTCTTTACTCCTGTTGTAGGTCTGCACGCTAACACGAGACGACAATCGTGAGATTGGAAAAATTCCTGAGGATGAGCAGCTGCACGTGCTTCCCTTATACAAGGCCTCCTCCACTGATGAGTTTGGCAGTGCTGAGGCTCAGCTGGAGAAGACCAAGACTGGTGCCATTCAGGTGCTCAGTGCCTTTCGTAGACAGGTGCGTATGCTACCAGAGCCTGCCAAGTCTTGCCGGCAAAAGAAGCTGGATGCCAAGAGAGCCGCAGCTAACAAAACAAACCCCAACACACCTAACTCCAAAATGGACAGCACCCAGCAAGCAAAGCAGAAACAGACCGCTTTTGAGAACCCAGGCCAGAACACAACTGTAACAGGTACAAAAGCAAGGCTTCAAAATGTATTCAGTTATAAATAATTGAATTAGGGTGATAAAATAAATTATATAAAAGAGTATTGGAACAGATTCAAAGTGTTTATCAATGTTTCAACACCAAAAGTTTACATTTTGGTCTAATCCCATTATTTCTTCCAGGCCCAGGTAACATAAATCTGGATTCTGGGCATCTCCCCCAAGCTGGCCATCAGCCTCAGCAGCACCGGCAGCAAACACAACCTAATTCTAATCCCACTTACACCGTCTCACAGTTCCCTAGATTCTCAAATGCATCTGGAACCCTCTCGAATGCTCCTAAACCAATGACCCCACATCCTCAAACAACACCTACTGCCAGTCCTTATCCCTCTCCTTTACATGCACCCAACTCTTACATTAACGTGTCTAATGCACCCACCCCATACCCCAGGTCTCTTACACCCAACCCTCTCTATACTGGTTACCAATGTAATGGGGGGCTTCCAATGGACAACTACCACCCTTACTACTCTTCTAATCTAAAGCATCCAGATATGTATCATCCCCAAACAAATTCACTGTACTCTGAGCAGCAGTACAGTGCACCTCAACATTATTCCGTCAACTACCCACCACACTATGGAGAGCCTAGCTTACCACCCAATGGTTATGGCACCTGTAACATGAAACCTGGCATGCACTCTATGGGACATTACCCAGGTTATAATCCTAATATGCCACCTGATGCCTTCTCCAGGCCTCCTTCAGCTCATCTACATTTGGACTATGCTACTATTGGCAAAAGCAGCCAGTTTGAAGCTTACCCCAAACCTCATATGTCCCAGAATCCTCAGATGTTTCCCCCAAATCCAAATACCTTAAGTTTGCAAAGTAATAAAGATTTAGAGATAAACAAGCATGGAGCAAATGGTATCCCTCAGGTGTTTTCTCCTTTGGGTAATGAATGCTTCAACCCAAACCAACATCCAGGCTTGAGGCATTCCAGTGAAAATGCCCTTAACCCCGTTGTCAACCAGACACCACTTACCCAGAGTTCAGAACAAAAAGAAAAGGAGGATGTGTGGTCTGACAGCGAGCACAACTTCCTTGACCCTGAAATTGGAGGGGTGGCAGTGGCACCTAGTCATGGTTCGATCATTATCGAGTGTGCTAAGCGGGAACTCCATGCGACTACACCAGTCAAGAAGCCTGACCGCAACCATCCCACCCGTATCTCACTGGTGTTTTACCAGCACAAGAATTTGAATGAGGCAAAACACGGACTGGCTCTGTGGGAAGCAAAGATGGCAGAGAAGGCCCGGGAGAAAGAGGAAGATGCTGAGAAGCACGGTGCTGAAAATACAACGAGCAAGAGCAGTGGAAAGAGAGTGAAACGAGAACATTCAGAACCTTCTGAACCTCCATATAAGCGGTTTCTTCTCATGCTTACAGAACGGTCAATGTCTTGCACTACTAATACATATGTAAGCACATCTCCCTATGCCTTTACCAAGGTGACCGGGCCTTACAATCATTTCCTGTAAAAACCTCTCTAGGTTCAGAGCATTCATAAACACAAGAATGAGAGTGGCGTCAGAAAAATGATATGGTGCATGAAATGGTGCTACAACAATATAGTGACCTCAGTACCACTGGCCACATAACCCATAATTCTTGTTCGGTTTCAGGTTATTGACAATAGTAAGATTCTGTATTATTACTATACGTAGAGCATCAGTTGGCTTTTTACACGCTCTTAAAAAGTCAATCTTTACTGTTTGATCAATTGGAAATATTTATGTATTATTTAAATACTCACGTATGATAACACTGTTCTTCATCCATGGTGCTTACAGTCCAACAAATTTGGACATATTACTGGAAAGAAATATTCATCTTAGGTGACTTTTGTGGCTAATCACTTTTTATGGTGCTAGTGAGTGTTTTGAATGCAAAAACGTGTTTTTAAATGCCTTTCTTTAACAACACACAACTTGTATAATTTTAAAGTAATACACAATTTTTTTTATTAAGCAATTAAGACATTATCAAGCTTAAATAGTGTTTTAGAAGCACTTGTTTAGTAATAATGAGGGTATCACTTGCTGCTCTCCAGTTTGAAAGACAGTTAATTATACTGCATTCATTTTAGTTTCACAATGTGGAAAACAATAATGATGAACTCCATAGTGGATAGTTAAAAATAATTTAAAAGACTTTTAAACAATTTCTCTGGTGCTTTTACAATTTCACAAATTCTTTACACTTACTGTATAGTGAGCCACTGAGGGTCAATTTTGTAACAGTAATGTTCTGAGAAAGAAATCACACAAAATAACAACAACAACAAAAAACGTGAAATTTCAGAACACTGAATACTGGAGTAGAGAAAAACAATGGTCAATATTAGGTCCTTAAAGCATATATCAAGGAACACATTACAGGGTTATTTTTACATCAATGTCACTGTTTCAGAGGCAGCTGGCTTGGCTTGCTGTGGGGTTTTTTACATAATGCAACTTTAGCTGTATAAAAAAAAGTTGAGATGTGTACAGTAAATTAATTTTTTTTGAATGTATGCTTAGACAATAGTTTAGTAAAGAAGAGTACTATTTCTTTGGGTTTGAACTGATTTTATTTCAAATGGTGCTACTTGACCTGCTATAAATATAATGTGAGAATCTCTAAGGGCGTTGAGAAGGCTTATGAATGATGTAGAAAAACCTACTTATCATATACCTCAGAACTAGTTTGGCAATAGAATTATAATATCAAGGTGTTTCTGTTATTTTACTTCCAAACACTTTGTAGCAAAAATAACACATACCTTAAGGCCATTATTGATGCAAAGTTCATTTCTTACTTTCTTCACACTTGATCTACTAGAAAGTATTGCTTGAACTTCAAGTGTCAATGGAATTGCAAAATCAGGGATATATCAGCTCATTTCTGTGCATAAACATCACTTGTGTTCATGTTGTCTTCTCTAATTCAGGTTTGAACCTTTGTATTTTAAATCCTTATGAATTACTTGTATACCACACACATATCTAACTTTATTAGAAAATTAAAACAATCAGAATTTATGTACTGTTGAAGCAAAATGCTGATAAACCTTTTAAGAAGTAATTTGAACATTTTAACATGCACTGATTTAATTAAAGGGAAAGTGTCATGACATATAAATCAATGCATGTGCTCTTTACCGAAGGGTTAGACCAAGTCAGTTAAAATACTATGTGGACAATAAGTTGCATATGTATAGTTTGAGGCTGAATGCATTTACAACCACTAAACATGTTATTGCCTCTTACACTCCTGTCCCTGAATTAAATTAGATATTTGATGAGTTATTGGTAATTAATGAAATACAACTCATTCCACTCTGACATGAAAAAATTAAGCACTTCAATTTGTTTTTCAAAAAAATTAGATGTAAATTCAAAATATTGTACATTTATTAAATAGATTATTCCACGTTGTATATACACCACATAATTGCATTGCATAAGTCTAAGTCCATTCTTCTTAATTCTAAGTCCATGTTATGTACGAAGGTTAATTTCCATGTTTGTTTAAAGTCAACTCACACAATAATAATAATAATCATAATAGATTTTGCTCCAAAAACCTTTGTCTTGTTGGTATTCGGGTTACCTGAGGTTTTTTTTTTTTTTTCTGTCATACAATAGCAACGTTTAAAAAAAAAATTCTATTAGAAATCAATTCGATGTACTGACTAGTTAAGGAAGAAGCTTCCAGTTCTGTAGTTTAAATTAGATGTTAAATTTAAGTGTACAGGGCCCAGCTTGAGTAGCAGGTTGTGTATGAAGCAAGTGAAATGGGTGGTTAAAATTTAGTGAGTGACAAGAATAGCCATACTTGAAGATGCTTCAGAGTGTTTCTGAGTGGAGTCAACTTTACTTGAATGAATTTCTGACTTCAACTAACGAACTGGGGTGCACAACTTTTACATTAAGCTAGCAGTTTATGTACACATTGGTATTTTGCCATTAGACACTAAAAGTTTTAAATGTCCTATTTTCTGCTTTTTTTGTATTGCTCCTCGTTTGTAATGCTTAAAACATTGAATTAAGAATGGCTTTGAATACTGTAAGTATTGTATTGTACTGAAGAACTGAATGCAGTTTATTTGAAAAATATTTGTTATGATTTGTTATCATTCCTAATATTGCTGAAATGTGGGTTTTTTAATAAAATGTATATTTATTTCAAGCATTTACAGTAAATTGTACAATGTTTAATAACTTTGACTTTTTTAGTAATTAAACAGTTAAATATATACAACGTTTTATTTATAATTTGCAAATAGTACAAATACAAACAATCAACAGAAAAGTGTTCAACCCTTGAAGTTTTCATGTTTTATTCCTACAACATTTGGATTATTCGTTGCTTTTTATTATTATGTTATATAAACAAAGTCTAAAGAGGTGAAAAGGCACAGCATGTATGTTTTCACAATAACTGCTGTTTTATAGAAATTACAATCAATTAACATTTCACAGGGTTAAGACACCATTCTTCTTGCTTTGAGAATGTATTCATTGAAAAAGCTTTTTTTTAGATAAATTGTTTTTTATTAATATATTTTCATTGAAAAGACTAACAGAAAAGATTGGAGGAGTTCATTTCTACTAGTCCTTGATTCTGATGCTGCACATTTCAGGGAAAGTATTACAGCATTATTCATTATTTATAGCGTTTGAGTTTATCACCTTACTAAGTCATCTTGTCCTAATTTGAAGCCAGAAAAAGTCTTGGTGGTTCTAATTTTGGAAGACTTTACAATAAGCTTCCATTTCTTGACATTAGTTAACATGAACTAATAATTATTTCTACAGCATTAATTATTATTTTATGTAACTTTTATCAAAAGGTTGTATCCTTTCACATTAAAGTATTAACTTTGAATGAAGAACAAACAATTGTATTTTTATGAATTAGCATTAACAAAGACACATAAATGCTATCTATATAGTTGTAATCAAAATTATTCAATCCCCATTGCAAATCAGGTATATTTGGCAAAATTTAATTACTTTCAGCTTTTTGCAATGAACAAATCTAAAGTAATTTAAATAGCTCAACACAACAAATGTTTCAAGTGGTTTCTCCAAATTCAACTTTTAATGACTTCTACATTCTCAAAATTATTCAACCCCCTGGATAGAATGAATCCCTCACAACAGCACAATCTGCAAAACAGGTGTTGTCTCAAGCTAACCTGACGCAACTAATTAAGGGCTTCATTTGCACCAGGTGTGTTTGAGCTAGAAAACATGAAATATCTGAACTGGCTAGGTGTGTTGAGTGTCACGTTTGACTGCATGTTAGAAATATGTCTAAGTCAAAAGAATGGTCCACAAAGTTAAGAGAAGATATAAATCACCCTTCACAAACAAAGAACAGGATACAAAAAGATAGCAAAGGCACTAAATGTTCCTAGAGACACCGTTTGAAAGTTAAAAGTTAAAGGTACAGTGGTTACACTACCTGGACGGGGATGAAAAAGGAAGCTATCAAGGGATGCAACCAGATTTCTGAGAAGGCAGGTTCGGAAAAACTCTAGAGTGACTGCAAAAGACCTGCAGCAAGACTTGGAGGCAACAGACACTGAGGTTTCAGCTTGCACAGTAAGGCCGTACTAAACACATGCCAGAACTCAGACGTACACCACTACTGACCCAAAAGCACAAGATAAGTTGGCTCAAATTTGTTTAAAATCATATAAATTGGCCACAGAAGTTTTGGGATTCCATTCTGTGGAGCGATGAAACATAACTGGAACTTTTCGGCCCTATGGATCAGCGTTATGTCTGGAGGAAGAATGAAGCATAATAATGCTGAAAAGAACACCCTGCCTATACAGATAAGCATGGCGGTTGCTCGATGATGCTCTGGGGCTGCTTTGCATCCTCTGGCACTGGCATTGAAGTATCAGGAAATCTAGAGGAGAAAACGGCATGCCGTCAGTGAGGAAGCTGAAGCTTGGGCGTCACTGGACCTTCCAACAGGACAATGATCCTAAGCATACCTCAAATTCCACCAGGGTTTGGTTGCAGAAGTCCAGGAAGATTGTACAGACCAGGAAGATTGGCCATCACAGTCACCTGACTTGAACCCTATAGAAAATCTCAGGTGGGATTTGAGGAAGGCTGTTGCAGCACGCAAACCCAAGAATATTACTGAACTGGAGGCCATTGCTCATGAGGAATGGGCTAAGATTCCTCAGAAACGCTGGCGTCTGGATATACTTCTCATTTGCAGCAGGTCATAACAGCAAAATAGTGTTCTACAAAGTACTAAAGATGCTTGCCATGAAGGGGTTGAATAATTTTGAGACTGCAGTAGTCATTAAAGGTTGCATTTTCAGTTGAATTTGGGGAAACCACTTAAATAATTTGTTGTGTTGAGCCATTTCAATTACTTTTGTTTGATTTATCATAGCAAACTAGCTCAAAGTCTGTACATTTTGCCAATAAACCTGATTTGCAATGGGGGTTGAATAATTTTGATAACTAATATAAATATATATATACACACAAACACACACACACACACACATTAACTGATGTTAATTAATAAGACCTTACTGTGAAATTTATTCACAGTATAAATTTATTATTTCCCAAATTTAATTTATCGTTTTTAAAAAAAAGCCGCTGTGCACTGACAAAATCCTATAGGACAATTATTACCCAAGTAATAATCCCATTACAATTGTAAGGGTTTTCTTAAAGTCAGCATGAAATAAAAATGTATTTGCTTTGTTTACGCACATTACTAGTCTTGTTGTAAACAATTCATCCAAGTTAATCCACAAAGAAAATGTCTTCATAATCTTTCACCAAAATCTGAAGATGTGCTTCCCCTCTGGAATGGCCTTCCTTCTCTGATGACGTCAGTATAATGGCCTGGGTATAACATCCCCTCCAACTGTCATTCTTCTGCAATCTTTGGAAACAAGCTGAATGGAACACCTACTTTTCTAGATCCATTCAATTCCCCGAAAAAACAAGCCACGCCATCTACACTCACCGGCCACTTTATTAGGTACCCCATGCTAGTAACGGGTTGGACCCCCTTTTGCCTTCAGAACTGCCTCAATTCTTCGTGGCATAGATTCAACAAGGTGCTGGAAGCATTCCTCAGGGAGTTTGGTCCATATTGACATGATGGCATCACACAGTTGCCGCAGATTTGTCGGCTGCACATCCATGATGCGAATCTACCGTTCCACCACATCCCAAAGATGCTCTATTGGGTTGAGATCTGGTGACTGTGGAGGCCATTTTAGTACAGTGAACTCATTGTCATGTTCAAGAAACCAATTTGAAATGATTAGAGCTTTGTGACAGGGTGGAAGTAGCCATCAGAGGATGGGTACATGGTGGCCATAAAGGGATGGACATGGTCAGAAACAATGCTCAGGTAGGCCGTGGCATTTAAACGATGCCCAATTGGCACTAAGGGGTGTGTAAAGTGTGCCAGGAAAACATCCCCCACACCATTACACCACCACCACCAGCCTGCACAGTGGTAACAAGGCATGATGGTTCCATGTTCTCATTCTGTTTACGCCAAATTCTGACTCTAACATCTGAATGTCTCAACAGAAATCGAGACTCATCAGACCAGGCAACATTTTTCCAGTCTTCAACTGTTCAATTTTGGTGAGCTCTTGCAAATTGTAGCCTCTTTTTCCTATTTGTAGTGGAGATGAGTGGTACCCGGTGGAGTCTTCTGCTGTTGTAGCCCATCCGCCTCAAGGTTGTGCGTGTTGTGGCTTCACAAATGCTTTGCTGCATACCTCGGT